GGTTCTCAAGGTTCGTGACCTTCAGGGCCGTGCATTTCGGGGATCCCCAGTAGGTATCTTTAAAACAATATGCAAAGTAGCCGCCAAAGTTGACCTTAATGCGGAACGGGCATACCTGCAACATAAATAAGTGTGCGTTAATATAAATTGATATTCTTGAAGTACGAAGTACAAAAGTGTAGTATAATTATCCTAGAACAATTAAAATTGAGAATAATAAAAAGACATTTTCTATGATGAGCAAGCACGCCGTTCCCTCCTTAATGTGTTGTGCGACGTACGTCTTCCTTGTTTTAAAACAGAAAATACGCAGGCACCAGCGAAAACAAAAACAAAAAACACGTAAAGCTGATAGGCAACAGCTGCTAAACAGTTTGTTTGCTTGGCACTTATGGTATTGCTGGAAATGAATGATAGTTTTCAAAGAGTTATTCTAGCAAGATATTTTTTTCGTGAACAATTTCCCTTGATTTTATGAACGTGGTGGCTGCTGCTGAAGGTCCCTGACCAGCTCCTGGCCCAGTAAGAATCAAAAGCTGAACATCAGTGCCCTTGCACGTTGAAGCCGAATTCGATAACCAATTAGCCACCATAAAACGCACGCAATTTTCTCGCCAATATTATGTACACTTTTTCCATCCCATGTACATTGCAGGAGCTTCTAGGCCATTTGGAGCGGCGCAGTGAAGCTCTAAGTTCGTTGACCCAGGAGCACAGTGAGCTGAATTCGTGAAAGCGTCCAAGCTTACGTAATAGTGTCATGCTCGCTACATATTTAAGTAATGTCCTGCACCCGAAGAACTAGAATACTGTACTGATTGCCGCAAACACATAATGGGCGAACAGAGGGTCTGTAAATGTTTTCTCGTCAAGTTGTTCTATTACTAAAAAAAGTGCAATGAAAATCAATATTCGCCCCAACCGGTAAAAAGACGGAGTGACGAATCTTGGTAGAGGAACTTATGTTGATTAAACAATCGTCCCGCAGGGGTCATAGACAAAAACAAAAGTATATGCCTCTCACAAATCGTTCAAAGAGGAGAGCAATTTTTTTAATATATACTGACTTCTACTAATCTCCTGAAGTTGCGCTGTGAAGAGAAAAGTGTGCAATTCGCTAGGCGTCGTAGTTGAAGGCCACTTACCCTCATGTGTTGTCTTGCCTTCCTCATAACAAACTTGTCACCCCACTTTTCCACCACGGTCATGTTTGTTGTACCAGTTACATTGAATTTGACAACCTTATAGGGCAGTCCAGTGAGGCTTACAGGAACCATTGTCTCTACTAATAATATAAGCGGACAATTTATGCCTCGGTCGAAGAACCACGAGAAAATTCCCGTGCAATATTCTTCCAGAGTGTCAGTGTGTTCTATGTCCAGAGTGTACTCGATCCAATCCACTTCTCCGTTGAGTGGTTGCCTGGGGAGAGACGTTATGCAATACAATGTCAGTGTGTGGAGGTTACTTTTCTCACCGTGGTATTTTCGCACACAATCTCAAATTGTGTTTCTTTTGTAAAATTTACTAAAATAAATACTAAAAAACCCACGGCTTAACTGTGAAGTTAACAATGACGGGTGGGCGAAGCAGTACTATCGTTCGGTGTTACCGTAAATCACCCGTGAGACCGACCACTCACACGGGTAAATGAGTGAAAAAGTGGTTACAGTAGTATACAATGTTTTTTTTTGGTCATAAGTGGCACGTTTTGAGGTGTTGTGAATTTCGTTTTGCCTTCATTATTACTGCTATTTGGTATCGCATCTAGCCTGAAGTTGGCAGAGTCGAAGTATCGACACGTTCTCCTCGTGGTTGTTGGTTGTTTCCAGTCATACGAAATGCACCGTAGAGCATATAGAGCCATCATCTAATGCACAAGCCAGTCGTTGTCAGTGATCGTCATTGTCTTCAGTGACATCGTCCTCATCGTCATGGCGTATAGTGGGTACAATTTTTCTTTAATCCTCCTTGAGTGAGTACTTTGCATGTGCTGTGCCGTGATGGCAGAAAGAGAATGTGTGGTCTGGAACGCGCTGGTTAATTCTTCATCTTCATAAGCGTCATCGTCGAGCGTCGGCTACGGCGCACTACGCCAACTCCAACAGACAAGCCTCGACCATAAAGAGCTCCGCTCCCTAAACTAATCCACTCAAAGAAATATACTCAAAGGAATATTCTTCAATACAGCTAACCATACTATATCCAACAAACTTGCTGAGTTCCCAATAATTGAACATACAATCAGTGCAGATGACGTTACAACCTCCAAAAGCACTTCGACTTGGGCGAGATGGTACATAACAGGATAGGCTTCAGCGCAATTTAGACGAAGACAAAAGGAGACACACAACACAGACGAGCTCTCGTCTGTGTTCTGTGTGTCTCCTTTTGTCTTTGTCTAAATTGCGCTGAAGCCTGTCCAGTTACAACCTCATCCCCGGGAGGTTTACTTGCGTACCCGAAACAATACTTGCACACGGCTCTATGCGTAACAGAAGAATTCCTGCTCATGCTATCGCCGGCCGAGTCTGAACGTTTACATTTGGTACAGGCGAGGCAAAGAATCTGAAACCTTGAACCCCTGGAAACTCTACCGGTTGAACTTAAAACCAAGAAAGGCCAACTTATTCCAAGGATGGGTTCTGTCACAATTTCAGGACTCCTAATCAGTGCTGAGGGCTGTAGCTCACAAGTGAACAATAAAACTCGCGCAAAGGCAAGCAACTAACTCAGACTCATTTCTAAGGTCGCTAGCAAAACAGCACTACCCCAAGGAGATAATCTGCTTAGAATCTTTAGTACTTTTTTTCATCAGCCACGTTAATTACTCAGCCCCCTGCCTCAAGTTGAGCAAGGTAAAAAAAAATTAGCTTGACACACTCAATCGAATCGTTCTTAAGAGGCTGCTTGGCCTTCCGTGATCCACCAGCACGAAGAGGCTTTTATAGCTGGAATAACACATCACAACTGAAAGATTGATTGAGGTGCACTTTTCTGCACAGATCTTAATTATATGATTAACCAAAAGAAGAAATAAACTTTTTAAGAAGCAGGCCTATAACCTTTGGTGAAGGCAGCGCTGCGAAGTTGAGGAAAAAAAACTGGACTACCCCGATAAAGTGCATCTAACGACCTAATTTAATGAAATGAAAAGACCAAAAAAAGGGGGGAAGGGGAGGGCATGTATACAACTTGTTAGATGTGCTTCATTTGATTTGTTCAGTTTTTTTTATGATTTCAACTTCGTAGCGTGGCCTTTATCTGCAGTATGTTCGAACTAGCCCCCACAGAAGCTTTCTTAAATATCATCCTTAGTTTAGCTTCAAAAATGTGCACCTTTTTTTTTTTTGAGCAGCAAAAGAAAGCTTGATAGTGAGACACTATACTCCATTTATAACAAAGCTCGGAGAGTAGCTTGTCCAAAATCCATTCTCGAAACAGCCGGCTTACACATCGCTTACATTTTTTTTTTGTCGATGCAGCCTTATACGAGGTGAAAAAAATGTTTCAATATTTCTTGACATGCGAGGGACACTAATGAAGACACCATCAGTGCAAACAAAAGGTGTACATGCGGAGTAGGAGACCTTTATGACCCCTAATGTCCATCAATCCAAACGGCTGTACAGCCCTCACCTTCTACTCTGATTCACACGTGACAGTGTAAACCTACTCGATTGCTTTAATATCAGGAAAAGCTGCTAGCATCATTCACGAATTTATGCAATGATGAATAAACAAAAAGCTCAGCGGTCACCACATCTCACGGCTCCCTGCTAATGTCGAAGGTATTTCGAGATCCGATTCCAAAGAGCAGGCTCTATCATTGCACGAGAGCTCACGTACCACGCTGGGGCAAATTAACCAGCTCATTGACATAACTGCCTAATTAAGGACACTTTCAGACTGTTCCAGACAGACACTTATTCCTAGAGCTTTTGGTTTATCCTACCACAATTTTCCGCAGTTGTGCTCTAAATGGAGGCTCGAAAGCTGCTTTTTTGACCATATGCTCTGACGTGCACGTTTAACAAGGACGGTCCTCTTCACAAAAAGGGGCGGACATCCAGTCACCTCAATGCGTTGGCAAGTACTTGTCTCTTTGAGGCAAATCAATAACAGTGAGGAAGCAGGTGTTAGATATTTTTGTTAATGCCGCAAACATCACATGCAACACTCATTCATTACCATTAACGTCTCTTGACAGCCCATTAGGCAGCGAAAGCTCTCTTGTGCTTTTTTTTAAGGATGACAGGTTGGTGCAAACGCCTCTGGCTTGTGGTGGAGTTTTACACGCTGCAGCAAATTCACTGCTTCTCTCTCTTCCATCATCTCTTCTTCCCATCTTTCTTGTCCCCTTCCCGAATTCCCCAGTGTAGGGTGGCCAACCACGTCTCTGATTAACCTCACTACCTTCTTTTTGTTTGTTTGTTTGCTTCCTTACTCCATTCTTCACAATGCGGCCATCTGGGATCACAGTCCGTATGTCAACGTATCAACTCCACGCCATCCAGAAAGCTCGTGTCGCCGCCGAGAGGTCACCGAGAGTCATCACCTCCCGGCCGGTGCCAACATGGGTGGAGCCACCACCTGGACTTGGGAGGTCTCTTGGCCTTTTTCAGTCTTGTCCTTCAGACTACAGCGAAGTTCCTTCTATGCATTTGTGTAAAAAGTCCATTAGCCTAAGTAACAATGCACAATAGACAGCACTGCAGGTGTATCACGGGTCGGAACAAAACCTGAAACCAATCTTGTTTCCACGTGATGCTGAGATACTTCTGTCATGTGGTTTCAAGTGCCAGCCGCTGTTGCTGTAAGGTCGACGAGTTCTGTATGTAAGGCTGCAGCCACGGACCTTTTTCTCACCCACAGCAGCCCCATATAAATAGTGGTCATGCTCACCTCTTGGAAGGTTTGCAAGCAATTTTTAAGGGGATAATCTTCTGAGGACTTCTACAAAGAAGACCACAAGATGGGCACTTACTCCTTTGGATGCGGTATTTGCTTCCAATATTCGTAGTCGTCTGTATACCCAAAGTCTGCTATCGTTCCACTGAAAGATTCGTTAAGCAGCCTAATGTAGTCCGCCATAACGCCCACGAAGTCCAGCGCTGTGTAGGTGTCTGCAAAAAACAACACGTGAGTTATAGAGTGATAACACTACTCATTTTGCGGCTAACCAAGTAAATGTTCTCGCGTGTGCTTTGTAACGTGGTAGCATCAAAGAGCTCGTTTCGCAGAAATTCTGGTGTCAGCGTCATGTATTGTGATCGAAAAAGTTATCATCTTGTGCGTGACCGAAAAATCGAAAATGATGGAAATAAAATGAATTTGAAAAATTCTGGGACTGTGTGCGGATCGAAGCCGGGTTGCTTGCGGGGCGGTGTTTTACTAGATATCTACGTGTTGTTGTTTTTTTTTAATGACCAGAGAGCTACACGTCTTCTGGTGAATACAGTGAAAGTAACTTCCTCTTTTTGAAAATGCAGTGAAAACAACTTTCATGCTTTACAAACACGCGTGTCTTGTGAATGACTACCAATACAACATGAAATAATGCTGTAATATTGCGAGGTACAAGCGTACATTGACATCGGGCAAAAGAAAATGTAATTATAACACTGACTTCACCGCTTAAAGCCAGCCACCCACTACAAAGGGCACACGCGTCACTGCGCCTATTCCCTCAAGGCCACGTGGTGGGCGCAAGCTCGAAAAGATTTCATTCACCAAGTGTTGAAAGTACACACTAGGAACAGGATATCACTATCGCGTTCAACTCCTAAAAGTGAAGCCTAGTGGTGCCCTCACTTTTTTTATTTTTGAGATTCAGTCGTGGCTACTCTTCCACTTTTTTCTCACACGTGCGTCTTCACAGCAATGAACATGCACAGTGTCTCTTGAGATTTCTCGCACACCTCTCTTCCAGGTGGGCGAGAGCCGTAACAGGGTAAACGCGCGCGCTTCTAGAGCTCAGGTCCTGTCACGTGACCCCCATGCTGGCACAACAAAGGAAAATGCGGGCAGTGCATTTGTTCATGTCACGTGGAACAAAACTGCGGCATGCTTTCCACGCTAGTAGCCGCTATCACTTGACAACCTTGTTTTAACCACACTTAACCACGGCATTGCTTTTGTTATTAAAAGAACGGGTCTTGGAATAATCTGCGTCGAATTTCTTATCGCGTAATTCACAGTTGGTGCGACTTTATTTTTCTGTTCAATTTACACACTCAATAATCTTCCTATCGATGTAAATACCCGCTATAAAATGAGTTTGACCAATTGGTTCACGAGACGTCTCACCATAAAAAACAGCGAAGGTTTTACGAGTGAAAATTAAGCAAGCTGAAACGCTGTCAAAAAATGAAACATTGAACAAATAAACTTGTGTAGGATATGCCTGGAGTTGCAATGCTCTTGGTTTTGTTCATCATGGCTCGAGAATAAACAAGCAGTTTTAGAGAGATGAACTAAGAAATTTTTCTTTATTTATTTTCATATACGAACAGCCTGTATTCAAAGGGCTGTAACAGTGACACGTTTTCACTCTGCGTATGCAATAACTCCACCATCTTGATGGAGAGTGAATGATGTTTCTGATAGTGGCGTTCAGTAACAATTGGTACTTCACCATATAATTTTTACTTATCTTTTCATAAAAACTGCTAAGGCTTCTAATGAGTGGAGTGAGCCACTTCGTCGGTGACACCATTACCCAATCGTCAGTACCAATATAATGGAAGTCACTGACAGAAACATTATTCAGCATATGCTAAGAGACGCTTGATAGCTGTGGTTTTTAAAACTCCATAGCCCCTCTTCACAAGTTCCCCCAAAGGGCAAACTGCAAACTCTTCAGGGCTGCTTCTGAGGAGCAGCATTTGCAATATCAATATCGACAATTTCAGTTGTTGATTTTCACAATGATGTGAACTCCTAGCTGGCGACTTCGTTATCACATTCTATACGACATAGGGTTGGGGCATCTCTGAAGTGAAAATGTACAAACGCATGGGATACACCTCACCTGGTTTTCAGAAGATCAGTATAATAAGATGGTTAAAATACTATGAACATATAACCATGTTTGTTTTCAGCTAAATAGTATTTTACAAAGCGTATCAATAACTTTCGTGACGTGTCTTTGGGCAGGCGAAAAGAAAAGGTGCTCGTCACTTTTGCAAGTAATCTTGGTCGAAACATTCTGTGTGCGTGTGTTGAAATCACCAAATAGTTTTCGAGAAATTTAAGCTCACTTACATTTGTGCACATGGGAAGCTGTCACCTGTAATTAGAAATGACAATCGCATTTTATAAATTGAAACATTTAGCGATATATTTCACAGATTACCACCTCTGTTTGTAACTCTGTCACTATTACACGCTTGCATGTAGCGGTGAAGCAGAGAAAACTAAACGTTATGAAGAGCGCCACGGCAACGTAACAGGCAGCATTCTTTCTGAGAAGTAACATTTTGCAATGTCCGACAATTCTAGGGTGTGTCCCATAACTATAAAACATTACATACTCAATTAGAGACAAAATTAGTACAGCATTAGTTTCGATGCCCGTAGGTTGTAGGTACGGTCCTAACTTCTGGCAAGTTGGTTTCTCATACACTTTAATTGCTCGCCACTTAAGTCACAATTACTAGACTACAGCTTAAACACACAGGCAATGTCGCCTATATACCCGCCTGAGCTTTAACTTCTGTTTTTCTCGTTGTGTCTGACAAAAGAAACAATCCTTCAATCGATTGTGCCTCTTTCGCTTGATTTGATATTATATTTGCTTTTTTATCATTTACCTTGGCACTGAAATCGTGGACGTAGCTTCTCGACGTAAAAATACACCAGATGAGCAGCCACAACTTTGTCAGCAATGCTAGTTAACCACTGTAAATAATCTACTTCAACGTTCTGACCACAGCACTCAAAAATTAGGGGTTTTCGATCTAGAAAAATGGCCGTAACCACATCCCATGTATTAACATTACCTTGATGTCTTCAACGTGGCTTCAACCGTGGTGGTACTTATATATGACAGCTTCAATAACGTAAGTAGCAGCCACTTCTATTTCGAAGAGAATGATTTTTTATGACTAGCATTTAATATGACACAGTCTTTATTGTGCAACCGGCTTCAACAACATTGTTTTAGTATTAGCAGAAAATATAGGGCCCCTCTGCTATTTTGATGAAATTGACGAATGCAGAGCCTCTTTCTGACGATTTTAGAGCCTTTTCTTATATATATTCGCGGCCTCTTTTCCTCGGGGATAGCTTTCTTTTTTTTTCCTAGTACAGATTATTATTTGACACAATTACATGTTTTTATTGTGGTGATTTACCTTAGTGTTACACATCTACGACTGTTTGTCTTTTTTGTACATTGAAACAAAATAACGAACATGAAAAAGGGTCTTACATATGATAAAAGAAATACCAGGTTATATGCCACCTCAGTCTTCATGGTGAATCAATCTACACAAAATAAAATGACCGTTAATAATTTGGTTCATCACGTAACATGTTTTATTTGAGCGAATATAACAGACTGACGAAGCAGTACAATCAACATTCTGTCATTGGTGTTTTTTGGTGGCTTCCCGCAGGGTTAAATAGAATTAAAATGTGGCATAGTACAAAAATACGGACAGGAAACTTCCATATATATCAGGCAACGTTAATTTCATTAAACACTGGCAGCGATGGTGGGCGTTTGATACTGACGCTAACTGGCGAGTGCTCAGCCTCTAAGCACACACCTATTTCTTATTAACACAGTTACACCAGACATGGTTAGAAGTACGCACGTAAGTTAGCTACGACACTGCAAGAGGCTGAATAGCAAGAACCAGAGTTCTCGTGCACCGTCAGTTGCAGTCATGTATTGTTATTTTTTTTCAACACGAAGTTGTAAGTATCTTTTAGTAAGACCGGTCATTTTTCTGCTTGATTTACTCATCTGTTGTGGCTATTGGTTTAATTCAGGAGCACAGCCATAGTATGTTTGGTTTTCTGGTTTTGTACAGTGCTTTCAGCGGGAAATGCAGGGTCGTTTAAGGGGGAAGTGCACGAATTAATTCAATGTTGGTAAAGTAAAGCTCCAGGGGGAAAAAATTCTTCTCTGCCTACCTGGAAGAAAATCTACACTTTCTCTTACTTAGCTACAATGAAAAAACTTCGTTGAATTGTTTTTGGCGGTTAAGTCAGTTCATTACTTCGGGTAGACGACAACACGGCGGCATCTCAGCGTCGGGTCGGGGAACCAAATTTTTTTCCTTATATTAAGAAAATCGTAAAGTCAGATTTTGTTAGATTGAGTTTCTAGTGTGTTTATACCATGAGCCTGTTATAATTGTAGTAGGGGGGTCAGAGTACTTTCATTTGTTTATTTTTGCCCCGCAATAAATGTACGCATTCAGATCATCCCGCGATTGCTGTCTTTTATCAAGGAAACAAAATAAATAAGATTCTTCGTAAGTTTCAAGATAAAAATGCAGATAAAGAACGCCGTGGGCAGCTGCACGTGAGCGAGACCACAATCTATACGGGTGCATGTGCAATACGGAACAAACTAAAAAAAACTGCCAATAAGCATGGGCGATGATGCACTAGAATAGCATGCAAACTTACGCTATGTTGCTTCTGGGTAAGTGATTTTGCAACTAAAGTCAGCGAAGACCTAATAACAAAATATTCGTGGGTATTATATATCAGATGTCACAATTTTTCTTTGAGGTGAGACAGCACGTTATCAATACTGGGCAAACGGAAGTCACCAATAACCTACTGGGTCATGCTCACTCTGATCAGACTGTACTTATATATGTCTAACAGCACAGTGTAAACAATCGAAACAAAGGCGCCAGACAACACACATGTGCAAGTTCAAAGCTGCAATTTGAAAAACAGGATGGGGAAAAGTGAATCTTTCATTTGAAAACTTAGCAGCTTATCGTTCCTAACGTTGAAAAAATTCTCAGGCCTGTGCAAAACAGGCAGCACAGTCACAGCGAAAGCTGGAACCGCGTTCTTTCCAGATCGTGTAGTCGAACACATATTGGGACATTCAAGGCCTGCGCGCTGGCCGCACGTCATCATCTTCATGCCCGAAGATCCATCAAGCAACCTACGGCTCCTGAACAGGCAAGCCCTTTCGGTTGCTCTCGAATGTGCGGTGCCACATCAAATTAAGGACGTACGAGTAAACCCAAGGAAGAACATTCTCGCCATAGACGTGCACGATGTGAGTGCGCTAGGACAGCTGCAGCGAATAACTGAGCTAGGTGGCATTAAAATGCGCCCCTTTATCCCGATGGATGACAAATCAATTGCCGGTGTAATTTGTGACATCGACACTGCCATTCCTAATGCTGACTTGTCTACCCTCATCAAGCCTGCAAATGAGGGAACTGTCATTACGCAAGTGCGGCGCCTTGGAAATACGCGCTGCGTAAAAGTGTTTTTCAAGGGAGATTGCATACCATCCCACGTTAAAGTTGGACATTTTCGACATCCGGTTCGACCATTCATCCAAAAGCCACTTCAATGTCATCAGTGCTTCAGGCTAGGACACGTCAAGGGCGTCTGCCCCAACTTACGACTGTGTCCCCGCTGCGCTGAACCTCATGCTGAAGACGCCTGTCGGGCGACTACTCTGAAGTGCGCCAACTGCAGTGGTCCTAATGCTGCCTCGTCGAAAGACTGTCCTCGAATCCAAAAGGAGCGCGCGGTTCTCAGACAAATGGCGCGAGACAACTCAACACACAGGGAGGCAGCCGAAGTAGTCCGGCGTCGGCGTCGACGTCGGCATCATCGAAAGTCTTCAAAGAAGGCACATTCCTGAGACGCTCCTTCCCACTCTTTAGCGGTTCTATCCAGTAGCACCGCGAAAGGGCCCACCACTTCTACGAAAGAAACAGAGAAGCCTCCTTCTCTGGAGGAATGGCCCACGCTCCCGACGCGCTCTTCTGCCAAGGAACCTCTGCAGGTTGTGGCCACACAAGAGCCGTCTCCAACCATGGAAGATTTGCCTAAAACTGATCGTCAAGTGATCTCGGTACTGCGTTCCCTTATAGAAGCCATCCGAGCGATATTAGTCGACATGAAGACACCATCTGTTCGAAGCGCACTTGGACTATTGGACGCCCTAAGTCCAGTGCTTGAATCTCTAAACTAGGAAGATGGCTACTCACACCTCAACTTTTCGTAAAGAAGTCAAGGCTGCATCCGTCATCCAATGGAACGCCAGAGGACTAAAATCACGCCTTTCAGATTTTCGTCAGTTTGTGTTTACCAACGTGTTTCCAATCATCGTCATTTGTGAACCCAATTTGTCGAAACCAATAAGACTATCGGGGTACGAAGCTGTCATGTCTTCAACGAACGGTGCGTGCTGCAAAATCATCGTCTTTGTTCGTCGTGAACTGACGTATGTTGTGCAACCAATTGCACCTCACGATGACAATCAGTATGTCTGCATCACTGTGAAAAAGAACCAACTCATGTTTACTCTCATAGGCGTTTATATATCGCCGTCAAGTAATCTCGATTCCAGGAGATTAGCGGATATTTTGAGAGTGTGTCCTGCACCATGGGTCCTCATAGGTGATTTCAATGCGCAGTCACGCATGGGGAAGTACGCGAACAAATGTAAAAGGACGCAGGTTAGCAAACATCGCCTACAACTATGGCCTTACTCTCCTGAACGACGGCAGCCCCACTTTTCTTCGAGGGGTGACATACGGCAGCTGTCTCGACCTTGCTTTTGTCTCCAACTCCCTCGCGAGATACGTCAAGTGGTTTCCAGATGTTGAGACACGAGGAAGTGATCACATTCCAATCTACCTTAACATCAAAGGCTTGTCTAGTTATGGTCCACGGACGACCATTCGAGCAGTCCAATGGACCAACTTCAAATCTGACATGGAAGATGCTTGCAGCGATGGCCTACAATCTGGGTTGGAGAAAACAATTAAGAGCACAATGCAAAATGCCACTCGCACGGTGACGATATCTTCCACACGAAACGACTTTGATATAGAGTTGGAGCGACTCCGAGCACTGCGACGCCGGGCGGAGCGTCGGTATCGGCGTACAAAATCAATTCACGATCTTAGGGCAGCCAGGAGGATGCAAAAGAAGAGTCGGCGTCGCATGGATAGATTAGCGTCGGAACGATGGACAACGTTTTGCCAGTCACTAGACCCTCGCAAGCCACTCTCACACATTTGGAAAACGGTGCAAGGTCTGCGTCACCCTACGGAACAGCGCTTTCCATTCAAAGCGCTCGCGCTATTTCAAAGGAGGCAAGACATCGATGTCGCAGAAGATTTCTGTGCGCAGATCGCCAACCAAGCCACTCGTCCAGATTCTCCAGTGAGAGGTGACGTCCCCCGTTCCCGTGACTACCACATGGATCTCCTTTTTACAATGGAGGAGCTCGAGGCGGCACTAGCTCTCTGCAGGCGTTCAACTTCTCCGGGCCCAGATGGTATTCCGTACCTAGCCTTGTGCAACCTTGGGGAAGGTGCAAGGAGAGAACTGTTGAGCCTCTACAACATCTCGTGGCAGGATGGAAATGTTCCTGATGACTGGAAAGTAAGCCGCTTGTTACCCATCTTGAAGCAGGGCAAATCCCCACTCGAACTCACCTCATACCGCCCAATAGCACTGGCCAGCTGCGTAGGGAAGATAATGGAACGGATGATACTAGGCCGCCTGGAGTGGTATCTTGAATACTACAAGATTTATCCGAATTCAATGGCTGGTTTCTGACGTGACCGCTCTTCTATTGACAATGTCGTTGATCTAGTTTCGTACGTTCAGCACGAAAGATCCCGTAAGCGACTATCTGCAGCTTTGTTTTTAGATGTGAAAGGCGCTTCTGATAATGTACCACATGAAGCCATCTTGGGTGCTCTTGCGGTGGTTGGCCTTGGTGGTCGAGTCTTTCGGTGGATTTCGAGTTACCTGGCTGCAAGGTCATTCTTTGTGTTAACAGAAGATGGCCCAACTACGCGACGCTATACTTCCAGGGGTGTTCCTCAAGGCGGAGTTCTTAGCCCGACGCTATTCAATCTTGCACTAATTGGCCTTGCTGAATACTTGCCAAGCACCATTAAAATCTCAATATACGCAGACGACATCTGTGTCTGGACATCGGCAGTCACACGTCCTCAGATACGTTCCCGGCTTCAAAAAGCAGCAACTATGATTGCCAACTACTTGTTCAAACAAGGTCTCAGCATATCACCAGAAAAATGCGCGCTGGTGGCTTTCACTCGCAAAGCAATGACCCCTTATGTCATCTCAATCTGCGGGCGACCGATTTCTTACGCCAAAACCCACCGGTTTCTGGGCATCATTATTGATAGGGACCTCTGTTGGAGTCCGCATGTGACCTATATGAAGAAGCGCCTGACCGCTATTTCTCAACTGTTCAAGTTCCTGGCAGGAAAGACGTGGGGGAT